TTAGTCTGCAGCTTCCTGCCAATAACATGACTCGCTGTGGTCTGTGCTCTGACTCAGACTTGACTCAGGTGGTCCTGATCGCAGTGCTGCAGGAGGTCTAACCAGGGTCGTCTGGGGAGGGGGGGGGGGTTTCTGGAACGCCAGGCTCATCTTTTAACTCGTGACCCGCTCTGGTGTCGGCTCAGTTACACCTCACAGTTTAGTCATTTAGCTCGGTGGTCTCCAGCAGTTCGCCTCGCAGGGCCAGCAGTCTGCAGGTTTCTTTTACAAGCAAACACTGACGCTGTGTTCTCCACCTCGTTCAACACACACAGCCCCACAGTCAAACCAAAACATGATGCAAGTCTGCTTTGACTAAGAAAACTAAAGCATGAGTTATTAGATGTTTAGGCAGATTTACCATCCATCTTATCCACATATACAGTTACACAGATATCGTTTTTTCATGGCTGATTACGATGTTTTGGACTCAATATCTTTATATTTTCAACAGAAATCAACACAAATATTTAAATAAGTGAATTTCTATGACAGAATTATACTACTGGCAATGTAAAAGGACTTTGACGCAGCATTTAGACCATCACTCCAGACGAATCAAGGGTTAACAGATGATTAAATAGATAAGATTTATTGACTTTTTCTTTTTAAATACGAGATATTTAACACTGAAAAAGTTTGAAGAGGGTCACAAGTAGACCTAGCTGGATTTTAAAGGTCACAAGCCAGAGGGTCTGTGAACCACTGACAGGAGGCAGTAAAATGTACTAAAAATATAAATGCAAAAGATCTATTGGACCATAAATCCAACATTTACAAGCTGTAGGAGGAATTCTCATTTCAGCCCTAAGACGTCTAATAAATAAACTGAGGCTCTGAACCAAGGAAAACTAAAGTTTGTTCTTCTAATTAACAAACAAGCCTGATAGAGTTGGTCCAGAGGTTTGTGTTTTGCAACCAGTCCTTCATTTTTGATGTTTCTGAATTCCCATTTCACAGAGAAACTGCCTGCACACGGACCAAATGAGACTCTCATCTTACAGAAGAATCAATTTAATCCATGTGCAGAAGATGACACAATGAAAAAATGTGACAAACGTCGAGGTTTCAGTCAGAAAAGCCATTGTCTCTTTTTGCATATTGAATAAATAAATTTTTTTTTTTTTGCATTTGAAGAGCCTCTTCTACTGTTTTCACATGAAATGGTTCTGATGATTCTGGCTACACACACCTCACACTATCTTCTGAAAAGCCTGCAGGGAAACCCTTCACATTTTTTCTTCTTCTTTGCATCGCTGGTGTTTGACTAGCATCCTAATGCTGTGCAGAGGCTGCGTGGTTTTCTAAACCAAAGTTAATCCTTGAAATCGACATTGCAGTCTTTCTTCCTGCTGCTTTGCTTCACGGCTGCGTTGTCAGCGGTGGGACTGCTCTGAACGTCTAAACTCTTTCACCGAACCTTACCAACACCGAGTCAAACAGAGGACTGAAACATTACAAAAGACAAAGTTTGACTCGTGTGTGTTTGTTCTCTCCCTTGAATTGCAGTTTTTCAACCTTGCCTTTGACTCATTAGTGATGTCAGTAGTTGGTAATGACCCAGCTTGTCTCCTTTCTACTACTTTTTTCTATTGGGGAAGGACAATGTTTTTGGTTTCCGATCACAGAACCAAAACCGTATTAAAAGTTTCCAGAAAACCTCCTCTGATGGAAAAGTGGAAATGAAACAGTCGCATGTTGGACCAACGAGTCCATCAGGTGATCTGTGATGCCCGAGGTGCTTCTGAGAAATACGAACACCTTGTTTAGGCTCAGAAAGGTCCCTGATCTCTCAGGAGAGTCGGGGAGGACACGAGGAGCTGTCATCACCTTGACTCAACAGTTCCTGCCAAGTCGCCTCCTCAGGGCGTCTGGCTCGCCTCTCCATCACGGCACAGGGAGGAGAAAGAGGCTAAAAATAGCTCCAGGTTGTATCTGGGCAGCGGTTGGCTGGAAGCGACCGATTAGCATAATGTTCACACTTTTTAATATTGATAGTAATTTGGTGCAATTAACAGAATGGGCTCTGGATGAGGTTATATTTTGTTTTGACAACGTGTTTGTGCCATTTGTGGGATATTAACATCAGATTTGAATACTGTTAATGCTCAGGTGTGTGCAGAGGTTGTGGATAAAAGCATTTCTCTGTGTGCGTGTTGACTGGTTAGCTTGGGTGGCTGAAAGGAAACAAAACCACAAGAACGTTAAGAGAAAGAAACAGGATGTTAAGAAGCTGAGATGGTGGAAAATGTCCTTCAGTGTCCTTTCTTTTCAGGTGCTAAGGCCTCAGTTTGCTTCTCAGAATTAAATGCAAACAGATTTTAAAGCACAACAGATATTTAACAGATATATATGAACAATTATCCGTATTATTGGCATTTTTACAGCTGATTAAGTCAGGAACAGACTGTGTAGTGCAAGAAAAGTCACGTAAATAATAAACTAACTGTCCATATGTCCTGCCAAAGTGCCCACAAGCAAGACACTGCGGTGATTAACATGTTCAACTCTCTTTGTTGCAGTAATTGGAAACGTCTGTAGGTCAGCGCTGCAGTAATTCCCTGCAATTTTCTGAGTCGTGTCAGAGAATAAAAGCCCGTCTCGCCTCAACCCTCGGCGTCATTTAAATTGAAACGTGTAGCATTGTTGTGCAGCTCATGGTCATGACACCTTGGAAGAGAAAAACAACACTATTATAATGTTCATTATTAAGGACCACGCAACTCAACAACAACAGCATCAACAGCAGAGGGGCTGTTGAAATTTCTCCATGGATATCAGACAGGCTGAGTGTGCCAAGACGGTTTGATTTTATAATTTATATATATATTTATATTTATATATATATATAAATATATATACATGTTTTTTTTTTACAACAGCACATAGTCTACTTTTTGAGGAAGCCTATTACTGTCCTCCCACACACACCCATCAGTAGCAGGCGCACCACAACCTCAATAACCCTCCACACACTCACACATATACAGAGGCTGGCTTAGTCCATTTAAGACTCCGTAAATCCGCCGCCACTCTCAGGACACTACTGCCATCAAGTGGCTGCTTTGAAACACATCTGTAGCAGCCAGCGTCCTGCAGCATGAACATGTAGGCAGATTTAAAACCTCTGCTCCAGTAACATTCATGTCACTGCTGTCGTCACTTTCAAAATAAGTTTTACATCTAAATGTAAATGTCAACTTTTAAAAACCCGATGCATCAATATCAGAGAGTGAAAATACTCCATTACAACTCCTGCATTGGAAATGTTATGGAAAGTAGTGGTGGAAAGTAACTATGTGAATTTACTCATGTACTGTTACTACCAACCGATCTGTTGAATATTTCCATTTTATGTTTCTTTCCACTTTTTATTCAACGACATTTATTTAATGAGTTTAACAGTTACGTTCCAGATTCAGACTCATAAAATAAAATACATGCAGCGGAGTAAAAAGTACTAAGGTAGAAGTCTCACCACCAGGTCCATGTGGTAGCTGTTCTGGAGCTTTCAATCATATCCCATGATCTTCTTCAGGGGATGGAGTTGCCCAGTTACAGTTACAATCTGGGCCACAGATTTGTGTTATTTATCAACACAACATACATTTAATAATGCTGTTTTTCTTTTAACCAGTATGATTAAAACGACACTTACGCCGTATTAAATGGTCACCGTCACACAGAAGCTCTTTTTCCAAAATCTCCTTTAATATTACAGGTAACAGGAAGTCTTCAATCCTCAGGCTTTTCTACTTGGACGACACAAAAACACTGAATACTGGGAATTGTTTGGCATGAAAATCAGAAACAGAGACGGTACATACAGTGTTTCAGCTATTGGCAGTTTCAATACAAAAACAGTGGGATTAACCTTTAAAAAATCCCCCAGTATCCTGTGTTGAAGATGACAGGTGTTTCTGTAGGAGTGTGTTTCAGTAAAGGGATCCTTGCTCGACATTTTCTAATAATTAGTTGCAACGACAATGATGATTAAGAGGCTTACAGTGGGTTTAAAAGAGGCACTTCTTCATCACGGCTCCTTCAGTGTGCTCTTCAACAAATTATACAAATATACAACGATCAAACGACCACCTGACAGCAGCTGAAATCTGAAACAAAGGAGGAGACGTCTTTCCAGGAATCCTGTTTTTCTTAATACCCTGTCATGTAAACCTAAATTTTTAAAGTATTTTAAAAGGTTCCCAACCCCTGTGCCACAGAAAGATTACTACAGAGCTGTGAGGAAACAATATGATTCAGCAGAAGAAATACATCTATATTAAACTATAAGTTCACCAGGTTCAATTTAAGCCTTTTAAAACACATAGAATATAACTTAATACCTGTTTCATATCAGAGGGTCTAGAAGCAGGATAACAACTCCTGATATCATTAATTACATTCATGTGACCTGGACCCGGATCAAATTAAAAAATGATTAATTAATTTAGGTCTTTGTCAAAGTCGTCGTCAGCAGCAGCAGCAGCAGCAGCAACAGTGTGAACAGGTTCCTCAGCTGCAGTTTACACAGCAGGTGTGTAACGTCTCCTGACACCTGCAGTCACACACTGTTTATGATTAATATTACTGCATAAAGCAGGAAATAGACACATATTTAAGACTTTTGTAAATTAGATTTAAGCCTTTTTTCTTTTTTTTTTTAAGAAACTGGATCCTGCAGAAAACCTGCAGGAGGCACGTTTGCATCTTGAACTTGACTCAGACTGATTCTGTCTGTCTTTTAATTTACAAACTGAATAAAGTTAAGTTTTGATTTCTGTTGGGAGGATAAATACAGAGAGCAAAGTCATGCCTGAAATGAAATGTAAAAAATGTGTTTTAATCCTTAAGATTTTAATTAAATCAAACCCTGTATTGATACAATTCCTTTGTTTTTAATCTTATTGTTAACTTTATTTTAAGTTAAAGCTCATGCAAATTCCCTACTGCTGCTGCTGCTGCTGCTGCTTCAACTGGTGAAACACACACCAGCTTTTATTGTGAAGAAGTTACAGGAAACACAATGTATTTGTCACTAATATTAATCAGCTAAACAAGCAGTGTGCACAGTGACTCAGTCAATATAAAAACCATCTGTGGTGCACAAAAGATTGGGAACCTCTGTATTAAAATGCATGAAAGATAAATAACCTGATAAACCCGATCAGTTCCTAAAAATTGATCTGATGTGTTAATGTCGTCACTTCTTCTAAATGCTGCTCGTTACTGTGGAATCGAACTGTTGAATTTTTGTCAGATTTCCTCACTTTCTTTATGTAAATGAAGTCAACAAACGACTTCAGAGGCACATTCTTTACACTCGAAGGATTTTCCTTCACGCTCCACCGTTAAAGGGCAGTTAACATAGTGCACAGAGCTCCGAGGTGAGTTGGATTTGCTCACCTTGGACCTAACGCACCTCATTTGTCCCTGCTGGAAAAACAACCCGTTCCAACAGTATCTACAACTTGTTTCTGGACATCATGATCATTTACATTTTTTACAATAACTCTATACAAATACAGTGTTTTGTCAAGAAGCTGACAGAAGTGCAGTGGAAGCAGACTTTTACACAGACTGACTTTGAGACTAAGTGACGTGTTAATATGGATGTTTTTGCAGTAAATTAAATAGTTTCTAAACAGAACGTCAGTCTGTGTTTTCTGCTGTGAAGGCAGGGTTTTCTTTAGGCCCTCCCCCCTCTGAGGGTGGGTGCGTTTGGTCTTTGTTATGGCGGGTGGGGTTCGGTTGTGTGTCTGATTCTGAGGTGGCCGACCGTGAATCTGTGCCATCATCAGTTGAACTTGTGTGCGTCGTCACCACCGCCACATACTCAGCAGACGCCGGCTCATCAGGTACCTGGCAACAAGAGGAAACAAACAGTGATAGCGTCGGACTAGAAGCCAGTTTTTCAGGTCACACACACATACACTCACACATCTGGCGCCAACATGAGGGACAGGTCAGAACGGCCTTTTATTTAATTCAGTCTGAATAAAGGTCTAGCTGGAAAAACTTGTTGCTGCCTGGCTAGCTAACTAGCCAGAAGAGAAAACATTATTTTAACACTAACTTGCTAGCTTCTATTAGCTGTGTTCACTAGGACACTAACTGGAGGCACAAAGATAAATTCTGACTATAAATCAAATCTTAAAAACAGTCAGACTTCACATGAACGTCTAAATTCATCAGCTGCACTGACCTGCATGAATCCTGTCGCCTCACCTGTGTCCTCTGCACCCTGTACGTTACTTTCTGACTCGGCCACATAATGTTCTCAAGACTAAATGTTGTATTTTTACCTCTTCCTCAGCAGCACGTTGCATCTTTAAAAAGGTACGTACGTGATCTCACAGATGTCTACAGTCTGCTCGAAATGATAAAAATATTTAAATGTGGTAAAACATTTCCACAGACCTGCAGCAGGCGAACGTTTGATCATTCAGAGAGGCAGCAGACATCTGTGGGCTCAGAAAAATACCTTTGAACGACCAGCTGCTGGAGGACACACACAAACGTTTAGATTTTTGAGCGCAGGGAGGGAACGCCATGTGACTGAATCATGAAGACCGTTTTCTGGGTAATGCTCCTTTAATATTAAAATCTTGGTCTCGCTTGACTCAGCAACTTTTAAAAGCACTTTAGTGACTTTAATTCGTCTCTCCTGAAGAGAGTCAGAGCAACAGTCAGCCAATCTGCACTCCACTGATCTCCACCGGTTTGAAGATTAGAGGCAGATTTAGATGGAGATTCACTGGCCTGTCATCGAGCTACAAAGATGGCCACCGGTCTCACCTAGACAGCGGGGTCCTCGCTTCTCCGAAAAACACGGGAGCAAATTTTTTAAACAGGCTTGATTTAGGTAAATCCACCACACGTTTGAGATCTGGTCAAAAAAATATCAAGAACTGAAGAACTGTTTGTCCTGATAATGTGATAATTGCATCTTGCCAGCAACTCCAACATCTCCACCAGAGGATAGGGTCAGGGGGCTGGGGTGGGGTGGGGTGTGACATCACCAGGGAGTAATTCAGGCATGCATGCACATCACATGACGTCTTGATTCATGCGTGGGAGTTCTCACAAACACATAGACGTATGCATGCATGTACACGCCCACATACCACAAACACACACACACACACACACACACACACACACACACACACACACACAGGTGTAGATGAGTCACTGTTATCACCCCATGCAAAACACACACACACACACACACACACACACACACACACACACACACACACACACACACACACACACAGAAAACCCAGGGCACCCCCTCAACACACACAGTAGTTTTCCATCGACCTTCGCACGCAAAGACGTCTCACCTTTCTTGGGCGTGTGTGTGGGCAGCCGAGTAGAGGAGGACAGAGAGTTAAAGAGACATTTCCCACACAGTCATTAAACCATCAGACACAACAGATGGAAACAGTCTGTTATTATCACATGACATCTATCGCTACTGCAGCTACATCAGCATGCAGTGACGACACGCGTGAGTTTCACCTTAAAACATGAATTAAAAATCTAAAATGTTGGTTTTAATTAATGAGGAAGTCACAAAAGGACCCGAGCAGCAACTGACTGTCACTGCTGTGAACTTGACAAATACAATCAGATGCAGGAGTCACATGAGGGACACGCTGAGAACTTCTGATGGACATTTCTCATCATTCGGACTAAAAGATTTAAAAAAACTACAATTTTAAATTAAAATAATTAATCGATTATCAAATTAATGCTTATTAATCAGCTAATTGACTGTTTACTTTGTGTGTAGATTGAAATAACTGCACAACTAAAAGTAATAACTGTAAATGATCATATTCTGCTAATGTTGTCATGGTGACAGGTTAGCCTTTGCTCTGGTCCTCTCAGTCTGTTAGTGACTGTACTGAACAAGGTTTGAGTCGTGACTTTGTTCACCTGCAGTGGTTGGTTCTCTGGTGGCGGTCCGCTGCTCTTCGCCAGGTTCATCATCTCTTTGATCTGGACGATGGCGAAGGCGATGGTGACCCACGGGGCTCCAGAGAGCACCCAGGCCGGCCGGGTCACGTCCTCCTGATCCTCCTGGTGCTTGGTCTTCTTGACGGGCAAGACGGCGGCCTGTCGGACCGGAGAAAGGCTGCCGGCGGCGTTCTGACTCTGCACCAGATCGATGGTGGCGATGGGAACCGGGCTGGAGGGGACCGGGATGTTCTCAGCTAAAATTTTATCCTCTGAGAAAAAAAATGTATACAAATAAAACAGATTTAAATTCATATTGAATTTAAGCATTTAGATCCGATTCAGGAGGCTTCAAAAGTCTGGTCATATTTTATTGACTCAGACAGAAACGTGTAAACTGTGTAAGACGAGAAAATCTAAACGTTTTACGAGACAGATGACGAAAGCAGTAAAAACTAAACCCATGGAAAAACATAAAGAACCGGAAACACAATGTAAACAATGACAGTGGGAACACGTGATCATACAAACATGCAGCTGAAAATGTAAACTCATCGTGGACAAGTTGTAAATACAACTTTCATGAATTAGTAGCTTTAATTTGATGAGGTTAAATCACAAATTGAAGCAGATATTTGTGTTTAAATTAACGCGTCTGTCTGTGTAATGATTATTCTGCGACTCATTTTATTATAATCTTGTATATAAAGTGTGTAATTTGTTGTAAGGTCTAGAGACCTGGATCATCAAAGTTTCATTTTATCAAATGAAATGTGTGTGTGTGGGTGGAGGGAGTTTTCCCACCTTTGTCTTCAGCCTCTCCAGACAAACACTGGATGAAGGCGAAGATGAGGAGGATGACGAGGGAGGCCATGCCGATTCCTCTGAACGTCGCTGCAGCACCTGCAGAGCAAACAGGGAAACTATTGGTTCATCTTTAAGTCTTATTTAATTATTATCACTTTTTAAAACTGATTGTGTGTGTGTGTGTGTGTGTGTGTGTGTGTCCTACCAAAATAACTGACGAACACTCCCCCCACCATGGCTCCACAGCCGCGGCCCAGACCCAGGTGAAGGCCCTGCAGAATCCCCTGCGCTGACGTCCTCAGCGCAGGGGGGACGGCGGCGCTCAGGAAGGAGATGCAAGCTGCCCAAACTGAGGCGTGGGTCACACCTGCAGGACGCACAGGGACAGACAGGGGGTCAGAGGTGGAGCAGGAGGAGGAGCATGACACCTGGAGATATTCTCAGGAAGTTGTTTTTAGAATAAACTGGACTTGAAATGAAGGAATATGTTTCCTGTCTTTGGCTCAAGTTTCATCAGGAAAACAAACAAACAAAAAAAAGCACACTGATCATCAGGGTCACTGAAACTGAGATCACAACATACCACAAAGTAAAATATGATTCAACATTGGCACTGGCAGCAGTCAACAGAGCTGTGCTGCCTATATGCACTGCCATGTTTTTAGTTTTAACTGTGGGTCTTACTTTCATTTATTAATATTTTACTTCTTTTTTTTTTTGTATTTCACTCTGATAATATAATTTATAGTCAGCGTCTCTATTTCATAGTATTTAAAATGTTTCTGATGTTAGTGTTTGGAAAAATAGAATGATATAAAAACGAATTTGTTAAATAAATCCAGTATTTCTTGGACTATATTGTTTATTTCTAGTGAAAAATATATTGAATCTATCTTTGGGTCTTATTTACTTTTTAATCAGAGCACAGACTAAACACTTTTATTTTGTCAGCGGTCCAGCTTCCTGTCTGCAGCCTTAGCCATAACATGTCACATGACCACCACGCCTTCTCAGAGAGCCGGTCGCAGCTAATCACACATTAAACACTGGAGGTAAACAGCAGTAGAAATGTGCTGTGTTTCTGAAGAGAGCTCTCTCTGATGTCTTCTGTTGTGTGGTGACGTTATCGAAGTGTTGGATATGTTGAATACACAATAAGATATATTGTTTTTTTAAACTGTTTTAAGTGGTCGGCCTCACAGTGAAAACAGACAGTGAACTTGAAGCTGAAGCTCTGAACGAGTTTTCACTTGTTTATTCTGTGAGGTGTCTGTGTTTTCTCAGGGTGGACGTCTCAAACAAACCACCCAGAATCACACAGGAGCTGTGGTGTGTTTACTAAACTTCGCCATCCACTCAAGTCCTCTTTTGTTTTTCACTTGCTTTACATTTTTATCTACTTTAGTTTGAATAATGCGCTTTTAAATCCTGAAAATTATCTCCTTTGTTCTTTTGTTGGATTTATTCTACTTACACTAAGGTCATTTATACGTGTTACAGGTCCAACAGTCTCCTATAAGTTCCCTAAAGAAGGAGCTGATACGTTACAGAGCGTCTCTTTGATTTCTCAGCAGGTTCACGCACAACTTGAATCTAGTATTTTCTAGGCTTCCTGTTTGTGTATAAACTCGTCAGTGTCTGCAGAGCAGCTCCGGCAGCTCCTGCTTCACTGCTGTTAGTGATCCAGGCTGCAGGAGGAAGGAGGCCGTCTGATAAGCGTCCTGTTAGGACAAACACAGCCTGTTCTCGTCGTGTCCTCTGGGGGTCCTAGCTTTCCAACCCCTCCCTCCCTGCAGACAGAGAAGTGAACGGATGTTACCTTGAAGGACCTCCATGGGCAGGACGGTCCAGGCGTTCTGCAGGTAGGAGATGTACAGGTAACGAGCCGTGTTGCAGGCCAGGCCGATGTACAGCACTCTGGGGGGAGGGTGTTAAAGTCAGTTAATCAATATGCAATTTACAACAAGGACCACACCTCTAGTAATTTTCTCGAAACATGACCTTCTGCTCAGCTTTTTCCTTTTGTGCAAGTTTTTTCTACTTTGCTGTTTTTTAATACACAAAAATATAAAATTAAAATTAAAGAAATCTGAAGTTTTGTGTTAAAACTGATTCTTTCAAAAAATCCAAAATGAACAGAGATGATAAAAGGTGGAAAACACACAGATCTTACACAAGAGGCTGTGAGCAGTTTGTTCACTTTACTTTAGAAAAATGATTAATTATTAAAACTGTCAGTGAGTAATTGAGCTTCAGGGTTCAACTGAGAGACAGCTGTTTAACTAAAGGTTAAAGCTGTAAGTTTTTTTGTCAAAGGACGAGAGGAGAAAACAAATAGAAGCTCAGTTTGATCGTAAAACTTCAATCGATGAATCGAGTCATTGTTTCGTCTCAGTTTCAATAAGAGCTTTTTGTTTCCTGGCTGCAGTGACGCTGAGAGCAGCAGAGACAAACTGATGTGAGCACGACACACCCTCAGCCAGTTCATCTCCAGACAGGATTATTTCAGTTTGTTCAACCAAACACGGTTCGCTGAGCACACACACACACACACACACACACACACACACACACACACACACACACACACACACACACACACAAGAGGAGCTGTGTTTGAGCTCGACGTGTCAGCTGATTTTCTGGTTCTGGCCTCAATCATTCAGCGTTGATTGGGACAGAAAATACAACTTTAATACCTTAAATTAACTGACATGTCATAACCATAGTTTCTGTGGATGTGCTGAAGTGAATAAGAAATATTAAAGTGACCTTGAACACAGGAAATGTCGCAGATGGTTGTGTAGTAAACTGGTAACTGTAAATCCTCCTGCACACACAGCAGAGAAATCTGATTTCTCCTTCTCTTATTTCACCTTTAGTTTAGTGACGCAGGACTTTGGACTGAGTGTATTGAGAGGACAGTTCTTTTCTTTGGTCTGAATTTTACAAATACTAAATCAGTCAGTCAGGTTTTATATTTAAATACATCTCCTTAATTTTAAAGACATGACATGAACATAAACATAAGTTTTTAAGGCTCTGCAGATGAAAAAAATGTCATATACAGAAGTTTTTTTCCCCTAAAATGTAGGTTTTACATGCACAAATTTAAATTGTGCATAAAACAGGTGGTAGTTAAAAACAAGGACGCTGGTTATCATATGACTGTAACCCGGCTACTTAAAGAGCAACTCACCACGAGATGCTCTCTGGGTTTTCTGGGTTGCCTTTTCATTTTAAAACTGAGCACATCAGTGAAGCAGCAGCAGATGATCTTTCGGCTGCTAACAGTGGAAACACACACCGTGACAGGGTCAACACAGGACACCTGCAGCAGCCTGAGGTGACCCATTAACATCCTCCCACCCATAAAAAGATAAGTGAGCATGAGTGATGCTGAAGCTGCAGCCTGCTCGGCTCTCGAGTGGTTTTCTGCTCTTGTTCCAGTTAAAGCAGGAAGCGTCACGTCCTCACATGCTCAAGACTCAACAGCGTGAAGGAAATACAGTGTGAGATGAACCTGCCGAATACTGTACAGTCAGTTTCAGTTTCAGTGTCTAACTGCATGTTTTTTTCAACCATTTGACATCAGTTATAGTTTCACTGCAGTTTTTACTCTCTCTTGTCTTTTTATTTATGTTCTACTTTGCTGTTTTACTGCAAACAGCATCAAAATATAATGTTACAGTACTAATACTAATAATGAGGCCTGATTATTGATTGAGATTTTCCATTCTGGTCTGTACACATAACCATTATTATTTGATGCCAATCTGAGGATTATAAACATCTTATTACCCACTGTTCAATCCAAGTAAATAGCTCTGACTCTTCTGAGGAAAATTAGTTGTTGTGTTTGGTTGGATGTTAAACATTAACTAAACATCTGCATGTGTAAATCTTTTGGTTATTTCAGGAAACGGCTAATATTCAATCCATGCAGCAGCTCCTTTCACTTCCCCTCCTGTCGAGCTGTTTCACAGTCAACAGTGTCGACGTTGTGTGTTTTATGTGCAGGACTGATGCAGGTTCAGAGCTGCAGCCTGACATCTAACACCACGCTCTCGAATGTCCCCGCTGCCCGTGAGGTCCGGCCCTCAATTCGCTCCGACAGAAACCCCGAGTATGAATGACGGCATTGTCTCAAAGAGGCACGTTCACTCTCCCCTGCTCTGACACTGGATACAACAACTCACTGCAGCTCGCTCCTGCAGAGTGGAGGACGGATCTAACTGTCCAACTGGGGCACTTCATCACCACAGACGCCCTTATTTACTGTGATGAGTGAACACTAGGTATTTTATTGTCAGGATGGACTGGAGTCAAATAAAGATGCAAGGAAAGAGGAAATCCAAGATGATTATATAAACTGGACAGTGCTCAGGCTTCTCTGGACATAAAAAAATCTGATTCCAATTTCAATTAGAGCTGAAACAATTCGTCAATTAATCGATTAGTTGAGCAGCAGAAAAATAATGTTAATCTAAAAATCCTTCCAGTCATTTTTCAAGAGGATTTCTTGCTTTTCTTCGTCATACATCTCTGTAAACTAAATATTTTAAAGTCTTTGGACTTTTGGTCAAATAAAACTATTTTTTGATCTTTCAGAGGAAGCAATTAATTGAAAAAAATATCTGGCAGATTAATCAATAATAGTAATCGCAGGTCTAATTCCATGTTTAACCTTGTTTATTCATTTGTCTGTTCAGTATTGAGAGGAAGATATTATCTGTATTTCGTGTGTCTCACCTGACGTGTCCGACCAGCTCGATGAACTTGTGGCTGGTGAAGTAAGCGGCGAGCTCAGAGACGTGGCTCAGGACGGAGCAGACGCCGAACAGCGTGGTCGTCCCCTTCAGGTCCTCCAGGTGCCAGTAGAGGAAGCTGAAGACGAAGCCGTAGCCGAAGCCCATGAACCAGGCGACGAAAAGCACGGAGCTGTAGCGCACGCTGCAGAGAAGCTTCAGGAGATCGCTGTAGTGGAACTCCTGCGAGGCGCTGGGGCTGATGGGAGTCTGGTCCGAGGAGCTGGAGTCCGTTATCGACCTCGGGCTGTTGGTCTGCTCCACCACGCCCTCTGGAAGCTCCTGCTGGTAGTCGCCGCCTTTCTCAAAGTAGAACTGAGTGGCAACAACAAACGCCAAGGCCATCAGCACGCCAAAGACGATGAAGGCGATCTGGTAGTTGTGGAGGCGGAAGTCGGGCAGGATGCAGCCAACGCCATCGATCACGACGGTGATGTGCGTGTGGTCGATCCAGATGCCCACCAGCAGCATGGCCAGACCCCAGCCCAGGGAGCCCCACATCCTCTGCAGGCCGTAGCGGTCGCGGGCTTTACCGAGGTACTGCAGGGTGACGGTGTCCACGATGGTAACGGCCGGGGCGCTGAAGAACTCGCCCACGATGATGACGAGCAGGATGAGCAGGAAGATGGTCTCCACCTGGTCCTCGTTGTAGATGATCTGGTACTCCTTGGCTTTGGTTGGAGCAGCAGAGGTGGTGGTGGTGGTGGTGGTGGTGGTGGTGGAGGTGGAGGTGGTGGTGGGTTGGGAGGTATTAGGTGCGAGCTGTGTGGTGTTATCTGGCATGAGGGGTGGTGATGTCGTGGTGGCGTCAGCTCTTCGTACACGCCTGTGGAACAAGCTGAAGTGCGGGAGTTCAGGAAGCCCAGTGAGGTCTAGAAAGCTCCGGCGTCTCCTGGTGTGGTTGGTGGAGTTGTTCAGATTTGTGACGTTACTGTCAGGGAGAGTCGTCATCACCGGCGTCACCGTAGTTGTGGGAGAAGCACCTTTCTCCTCGCATTTCATCTCAGCTGGTTTGACGAAGCCGATGCCGCTGTTGAACACCAGCCAGCAGAAGACAGAGAACAGCAGGACCGCCTTCCCTTTCTTGAAGCGGTCAGCCACCACCCCCCAGAAGGGGGCGCTGCAGAACTCAATGAAGTAGCGGATGCCGACGAGCAGCCCGCTGCGACTGGCCGACATGCCGAGCTGCTTGTAGTACACGGCCAGCAGAGGGTGCAGTGAGCCGTAGGCAGCGTAGAAGAAGAAGTAGAAGATTTTGGAGATGAGGAGGTGGCTGTTGATGCGGAGGCACATCCTCTGGCAGCAGTTGATGGAGTCGGGCTGCGAGGCCAGGGCCTGTTCGGGCGGCGTGTCGGTGGTGGGCGCAGGCGTTGTGGTGACGCCCACCTGCCGCTCCATCGACAGGGTGTTAAACGGCTCGGCCAATACATACTTCCTCTTCTGCTCCTCCTCGTCGTCCGTCAGGATGGCAACCTTGTCGTCAGCTGCCATATCTGGAAGATAAGGAAATGAGGGTGAGAGCGGCACCAACGGTCATTAAACAAATGATACTGAATTTCTCCTCCAGCTGGCAGGTTTGTCTGCTCTGCTGGAACATAATCACTGGCCGGAAATCAAACATCATTTCATGATCCTCTGCAGTAAAGAGGTAGATCCTCTACAGGAAAACACAGCTGTTGTGAAAGAAAAAGTCTTACAATGATTCACCATCTGTTTCTTTCTCTTACTAAAAAAAGGTTTCTTACTCTGGAGACTTTCCAACTTCAATACCTCCCAGTCTGGCATTAATCAAACACCCAATATTAGTATAAATAGATCGGTCTTTGGAGGAACAATTAGTGAGCTTTAAACACTGCACACAGTCATTCAGTGGTTTCTTTAGATAGAGGTGTGAATAAGTTACAGAGAAACAGATAAAAAAAAAAGGTTCATTTTTTTTAAATGCATGAATTATAATCAATATAACAATCAATAGAAGCTCTAATGTTCTTTGTTATCTTCTCTTTTCCCTTAGAAAACAAGTTATTTTTACTCCTTTGAAATGCAAAGACACAACATCACACAGCTCTGGAGTCTGAGTGCAAAATAAAGCTTTGAAATGACCTTTTTTCCTGTTGCCAATAATAGAATAAAAGTGTCTTTAAACTGCTTGTTATTCTGGTCCAGGTTTCACGTCTAAGTGAAGTGGTTTTGGATCTAGACCTGGTCTGATGTGGACTGGTTGACAAAAAAGTTAGTAAAGTAAAATCATATTTTTCCCCCAGTTTTCATGATGAAAAGAATAAAGGTTTCACATATATGAGAGATTTTAAAACAGCCTTTGTGGTCTCAGTGTCAGTGTAGTCATCATTACAACAAAACAGGGCCGCTTGGTAATCCTACAAGGACCGCTGGAGGTCCACAGACCGCAGTTTGGAAACCGTCTGTCCGGCACTGACGGTCCTATGCGGAAGTGTTTGACATCTTGACTAAAGCTACAGTTTATTTTAAATGGAAAATAAACCAAACTCAACACATTTAAACGAGGATTTAAGGAAATTGCTAGAACGACGTTGCAGGTCGGTTGAACCGGTTGAACGAGCAGGAAATTACTCTGACACAGTGACACTTTCATTCTACCTCCTACAACCTCAATTACATTATTATAATAACATATTCAACAGAAAAACATTCAACGTGAAATAAAACACGACATTTAAAGACACATTAATTAGCTCACCTGCTCAGGTCACCGCTCCCATTAAACTATGACTGCGCAGTTACTGATGAATTTTTCTCTCTTCGGTCGAACATTTTTCACACAAAAACCGCTGATAATTATTTCTTTTATTTCGCGGATAATGTTTGAATTCACGGGAAAGAGTTCACGTTTTTCTCTTAGTGTGAATGTAAAGTGTTTCCCCGGCTCCCTTCTCTTTGTATTGAGAACAACAGCGGCTCGTTAAACCGGAGCTTCCACCTGTCCTGAAAGTGACACCAACCGCCAAGCCAGCATCCGGTCTACATTTTCAAAATAAAAGCCATTATTTTATTATATTATATTTTATTATATTATCGTTGCTGGTATGTGTTTAAATACTTATTTGTAAATATTCAATCCATTCCATTTTTTATTTTGTATATCAGGCTGCTTTATATTATCATTTCTATGAATACATACACTTAAATCTGAGTATATAGTAAATAGTCATTTTTATAGCATATATCTAAAGCTGAACTACTACTAAACTAGTTGATCAAGACAAAATCAATCAGCAACATAAATGTCAGAATTTGATGCTGTTTGTTGTTGTATAGAACACTAAGTTAAATATTTTAAGGTTTTGAATTGTTGTTTGGACATAAAATATAATTCACTGCATAAACAAGGGTTCTGGCATATTGTAAATAGCACTTTTAAAGTAATTGTAATACTAGCTGAAAATGAAAACAGCATTGCATCACTACATTCAATGTTTATTCCAGCATATGTACCTGTTATTTTCTTTGTTGTCTGGGCGTATGCTGTGCTTTTATTTTGTCGACATCCGGTGGATTTTAGCGGTAAATCCAGGCTCGTTGACTCATCAGAGCGACTCCGCCTGAACGTCTCCAGTGTGTCAATTAAAGGGGAAACTTCCATTAATCACAGTGAAAACAACCATAAACATAAACATTCAGATACAACACATGTTCCCTGTAGTGATATTACATGACAAAAACAACCATAATGACTATATATACATGCCAAATACTACCATGATTATTATTTTATTTTATATTATATTTATTTTATGATTATTTATTAATCACAGATAAATCTACACCCCAATAAATGACCCTTTAAAGTTAGGAAACATGATTTTATTATGATGTATGTATTCTGCATGAGCTCAAACCCAAAATGCATAATCATATCAAATAAAAATATTCTGGATTTCTAATGTGTACTTTTATTACTTTTATATAACTCCTCTATAAACTTTGGAGGAAACTAAAGTAACATGTTAGAAGTGTTAAAACGTGATGCTATTTGGTGTTAATTTTAACACTTATGGTGACAGATGAGTGTGCAAAAAAAACCACAATGAAAGCTCCTGGAAGGTGTCATACAAATATTTTTACAGGAAATAAACCCCACCCATCTGGTGCTACAGGAAAATTAATAGTCATATCATGATTTTCGGTGCAATAAATCGTTTTACCTGCAGGGGTTGCTGTAGACTTCAGTGTAAACTGCTGACGTGCTCTGTACTGAAAAACATTTTCTACTGGAAAATATGAAAATATGGGAAAACATTTGTCTTAAATGAGAAACTTTATACAATTGAATGTCACAACATCCCATTTAATGCTTTTCCATGTTTAGAGGAACATTAACAACCCACAACCACCGCTTCAACTTCATCTCATTCACTCATAAAAATAATTTTTGCCGTCCAAATGTTTTAGATGAGAAAATAACCCTTTTTTATTCAGGTACGAGTAAAATTAGGGGATTAAATCTTGACAAATGTGATGCAATTCAAAAAAATCTAAAAGTGTTTATCATGAAGCAGATGTTGTGTTTTACAGAAAGCTTTTCGAGGCTTTTTGGTGCGAAGCAGATGGGAAATCCTTCCAGTGGAAATCCGACAAAATGAACGGCAGAATCCCAAATCTCTTTCCAGGCGTGCAGATGTTCGAATGGGAATTAAGTAACAACCGAGTTCCTTAAAATAAGGAGAATAAAAAGGACAGAAAGAAAGTGTGATATGTTTCAGAGGAGGAAGAGGAGGATGTGTTTCAGTAGTCCGACTCATCTGAAAGCTCTCCCTGCTGCGTCCAGTGCTTCCCCTTCTTCTTCTTCTTCCTCTTCCTCTCGCCCATCAACATGGCGGCCAGCACGGTGACCACCACGGTGGCGGTGATGATGAGCACGGTGACCGTCTCGGCAATGCACAGCTCCGTGTCCACCTCCATCAGCCGGTAGTCACGGAGGACAGGCGGCGCCTTGCAGGTGAGGTTGTAGTAGTCGTCCAGGAAGAGCCTCTGGATGCTGCGCAGCTTCCGGAAGAGTCTCTGCAGGTCGCAGTCGCAGTTCCAGGAGTTCCCCTCCAGCAGGATGTGGGTGCTGTAGGTGTGGATGTTCTGGAACGTCTTGAAGGAGATGGTGGCCAGCTGGTTGTCGGCCAGGTTGAGCAGAGTCATGCTGACGAGCGGCTTGAAGACAGACTCTTCCATCTCGCTGATCTGATTTCCGGCCAGGTTGAGGACCTCCAGGGAGCGCAGCATGGAGAAGATGCCGCTCCGCAGAAATGTCAGCTGGTTGTCCTCCAGGTGGAGCTGCCGCAGCGTGCTCATGGAGGAGAACGACCTCACCTGGATGGTGGAGATGGCGTTGCTGGTCAGGTTTAACCTCTGCAGGCCGTCCAGGTGCACGAAGCTCAGGCTGTCCAGGCTGGTCAGGCGGTTGTGGGCGAGCGTCAGCTCCCGCAGCAAAGCCAGGCCGATGGAGAAACCCTCAGTCAGGGTGGAGATCTGGTTCCAGCTCAAGTCCAGTTTCTGCAAGAACTCCAGCTGAGAGAAAGCGCCGTCCTCCACCACACTGATGTTGTTGTTCTGCAGCAACAGGACTCTGAGTCTGCGGTTCTTGCTGAAGGAGTGTTTGGGGATGACGGAGATGTGGTTGTCGGACAGGTCGAGCAGCTCGGTGCTGGGGGCCACTCTGCTGGGCAGCTGAGTGAAGAGAGCCAGAGAGCAGATGGTGAACTTGAGATCTCCTCGACAGTCGTGAAACCTGGAGGACGCCTCCGTCACCACCAGCAGGAGAAAGATGAACTCCTTCATGACTTCAACAGCTTACTGAAAACAGCCAGACAGAGGAGATTCATATTCAGTCACATTTTCATGAGGATATTTCTATTTCACTTCTGCCCAATGACCAGCAGAGAAGATTTTTCTACCTTTTATAATTTCACTTTTTTGACAAACGTCTTCAAGACATCTCGTCTTCTGGATCCTCTCTGAAGTTATACTTGCTCTGTGTTGCACTGAACAAAGTCTCCAGCCTCCAAAACTCCCCAAACAATGAAGTGAAAGAGTTTCCACATCACACATCAGCTATGAAGAATTATTTGGCAAAAAAAAAATAAAATCAGAGCAGGTGTTTTAATCCAGGATTTAGCTTTATTTAGCTTTACTACAAATTCTTTTGATTGAAAGTGGATTAATCTAAGAGTATTTCTCTTCTGTAGCAGTGGTTTCCCTCCTGGCCTGTTAAAGTGAATCAAAGTCGACTCACAACATGTGTACGAGTGAAAGGTTCAGTAGTTTTTAGTTTAAAAAACAAAGACAAGAGAAAAGTTGGAAAAATGCCATTTTTGCTGCAAAAATGTCCTTTTTACAATTCTGGTTTGTTACAACTTGTTTTTCATTTCTATCATAAAAAAATAAAAACTGCACTCACTCTTTAGAGAACCACAGCAGAATCATTTCACACATAGTCCTCTGCAGAAGCTTTCTACAAGGCTCTTCACAACAACACAATAAATCCGAAAGTTTCATTCAGAAACAAAAACAGTGAAAACACAAAGTCCTCTTTATGTATGTGGAGCAACTTTGAGCAGAAATACAAACACTGTCTTACATTCTTATGAAGGTGGATGCGGAGTCTCTCAGCTCATGATGCTTCAGAGAAAAGTTCTTTAAGTGTGTTGCTATAAAACATGTTCCCAACCTTCAAGTGCAAATTCATCTGAAGAGTCAAACGTTTAAAAAATAATCCTTTTCTCTCAGCTTTGGTGGATGACATCCACAAAGGGTTAAATGGTTTTCTACAGCACCAAAAAGTGCAAGATTTAACCAAATATGTCCAGTTTTTAATTTTATAAAATCTACATTTTACTGTTTTGAGAAAACAACTCGATCTGCTGCTTCCTGGATTTAAGAACCAAAATGCAGCTAAAAGGTCCTGAACAAAGTTAAAACTGTAAACAGTTAAAACTCCTAACAGCCTCGTCTTAGTTTGAGTGTTTAGGTCTGGTCTTACCAGCAGCTGCTCCTCTGCTTCAGTCTGTTTACCTGCTGGTTGTCGTCAGCATGCAGCCGGCAGCAGGTGGAAACTGGACATGATGGAGGCGAGGGAGGGCAGGTCGTCAGTGCCTGGAAAACCCGATGAGCGACACCACAAAGACAGAGTGATGGAAAGAGACACATAGGGGAGGAGAGGGGAGGGGGAGCTCGTCAATTATTCACCATGCGGCGCTGTGGTTGTGATGTGGGAGGGGGTTATGAGGGCCGAGGGGAGCTTTAAGAGATTGGAGCCAAACTGGGCCACAGATCTGAGAATTAGAGGGTCTGGACAGATTTGATTGATTGCAGGCAGAGGGTGTTTATCTCCAGACTGTTCCCAGGTTTATTTATAACTTTACATATTTAATCACAGTGACTTTTTCTCTGTGTCATATTGTTGCGATCAGGGCGGGTGTCTGTGGAAAGACAGGTTTTTAAATTAGGGGGAAAATTCTTTCAACAAATGTCAAAAAATACAAAAACTGAATGTTTAAAATCTTTTTTTTTTTCTTTTTACATTTGTGCGCAACACATCGTCATCTGCATCGTATTGATAACATAATACAAATGTTAAATATTTAATGAGGAACAGTTGTGATGAACAAGGACTTTTTATTGCAGCCCTGTACTCCAACACTAAGTGCTTTGTCATGGCGATCTGTTTGATAATGGCACATAAAGCAGATGATTCCCATGAATCTAATACTTATATTATACTGTATGTTATTACATATTTTTCTTTCTGATTTAGACTAACAAACATTCTTATGTATTTAATGAGTACTGTGTGGGAAGTTGTGTTTCACGTTATTCTCTGACAGATCCCAGAAGCGAGCTGCGGCCCAGATGTGCCATTATTTATTCTCATCTCTAGGATGAGAGGCGGGAGATGTATCAGATAGATGATGAGAAGACCTGTTGGTCACCGAGAGAAAGATTACACTAATACCGTCCAAATCCCCCAGCCCAGATAAACCACTCTCTGCTGCCGCCGCCGCCCGTCAACCTCCATTAATTGCGGAATCAGAGTTTGTAGCCGAGCTCCTCCCGCAGCTTTTTAACCCAAATTCTGTTTGGCTTTTTACCTTTTAGCTGAGTCACGTATTTCAGGAATTTCTTCAGTCTTTAAAGGACAGGGGGTGATGAAATACCAGAATTTAAAATACTTGATTGTGTTGCTTTGGTAAAAGTACATATGTAATATTATTAGCAAATAAAGCAAAGATATACTTTTGGACAATTCAATCTATAATAGTGTAATAGTTTAAACTCAGTCAACAGCGTTTGAGTGTAAGTTGTGTTTTTCATGCGGGGTTGTGTTCAGGTCATTTCTTTCTTTGTTGATTGTTTGTTTCATTTTTGTTGTTCAGTGTTTAGTAGTAAGGTGTTTCTGTACCTGTCAGTGTGAGCAGGACTTCTTCTTCTTCTTCTCCTTTGTCTTCACAGTCTACATTTTGCCTGTTCTTCCAGACCCTTCACTTCCTCCCTTCAGACAGTGTCAGTGATGGTACAGCAGTGTTTCCTCTCACAGATATTGGGTGTCTGCAGAGCTCCAGTTTCACAGCAGCCTTTTACTTGACCTGGATAATTGTGCTGCACAATAACAGCAGCTGGAAACTACTTCAGTTACCTCCACTGCACTTTACCTGATTATTACAGGAGCTTCTAATGTCAACAGGAAGCTGCTTTTAGGTAAAAAATATTGCTTGAAAAGAAGATTATCCAGCAATTTATTGATCATCCTAACGTGGTGATCAATAAACTGTGTAAAAAACATGATCTTCAGTATTTAGATTTTACTGTATTTCACTTTCTGTATCAAAAACAGTGTCCAACAAAATAAAAACTGTGAACTGTATAAAATAAAGATTTTTCATTAATATATTTATGAAAATACAACTGTTATTAATGCTACTACCATCACTATTACTCCTCCTCCCTCCTGCTCCTATCTTCCTCTATCTGTCCTCTCTCCTCTCATCCTCTTTCCCTCCATTCTTGCCGCAGCAGGCTGCAGATGGTGCTTAATGGACACATAAGTGAGCATAACTACCTCGTGAATAATTACACACACACACACACACACACACGAATACAAGCTCCAGTATGTGCTAAGATATTCACAAACTAGGGCACCATCACGTCTAGAAATACATCTCCATCATAATTTATTACTTTGTTTTACTGTAAAATCAGTTTTTCCTTAATTAAGTGTAAAAATTGAAATTATCAGTTTGAATATACTGATTTGAAAATGATTGAAATACAATGCCCACAAAAATATTGTGAGTATATTAGAAGTTGTTGTGTTTTGTGTTACAAGTGGCCGACTTCAGTGTACATGACAACGACACTAAATGCAGTGTCATGTGTTTCAATATGTATGATGATGACTTTGGAGAGTATTGCTAAAATTAAAAGTTCCCACAGGGTTAATTAGGATTAAAAATAGTTGTCAATGTCACCCTGCTAAATTTAATTCACTTGCCACGAGGTCTGTAAAAACCATCTTTGCATTGGCATAAAAATATTTCTTTAAAACTGCGGATGAGAAACACGTTTCCAGGGGAAAAATAAAAGGACAAATGTGAATCCCATAATCAACACCATCAATGTGGCAATGTGCCTTTCCAAATAACAGTTCATTTCCAAAATATAAAGGTATCTCCTAAATTGAAGGTGACGTTGTGGTAAATGTTCCTATATAAAAAAGCGACTATAAAAGAAAAAATCAAAAAGGAAAAAAGAAAAAACTGAAGATCCTTAGCTGTATGAGAGTGATGATGTTTTTATCTGGGGACTTTGAGAGGGGACGAGTTCGCAAGGGAGGGAAGTCGAAGGTTGTGGGACACGAAGTTCCGCTGACGTGCACTGACTGAAGAGCGGCCACTGGTGGATGTTTTCCCTCTCACCTCGTAGGTCCTCTGCTCGTCTGCTGCCTGAAATAAAAAGAGTCAGCTGTTAATCATGCAACTCTAACAACTGTAGGTTTGTATGTATGTGAATGGGTCTATATGTAATTTTGCATATGTTGGTAAGAATGGTTTCCAAATTTGATCAGTATAAAATAAACATCTGTTGGTTTGTGGATCATTATTCTTATGAAGGGTGGAGCTAATAAAAATTAATTAATAAAAATGTAGGTGATGAAAATGCATGAATTAAAGAATGTAGCAGTAAAAACGGATGTGAAATGAATTTTGTCCCAAAATGTTGTGCCCCTGCAGGTAATTTGCGACAGGATTAGACTTCAGGTATGTTTGCGGAACGTACCTGAGCAGCACAGTGTACATCTATGACCTTGATGGGTGCTGGTGACTCACAAATGACCTCTACAGAGAAGTATACCTCATAGCATCCGAGCACATGTCCTGAATGGCATGCAAACACACATGTACACACACTTAACCCCTTATTAGCTAAGTATGATTGAAGCTTTCTAAGTGGTTCATGCACAGAATATGGTCCAACACTGATCTCACCTTTGTCTTTGTCTGTCTCCTGAATGTCTTCAATTTCTACAAATGACACAAAACCTGCAAGTTGAAGATGAAGTGTTCAGTTAATTGTTTTGTTTGTTTTAATTAGTCATTTGTAGTCAAAAGTTCTTTCCATTTCCCACTTAACATATAATCCTACTCATCTGCCAATGCAAACATACTGTAGATGTGAACACAGGAAATACAGGTTTGCAAAACAAACACTACAACACTTGTGTAGACAGTAAAACCACAGTATTCACAGCAGGCATTTAAACTAAGAACAACGAGAGTGTG